AGCGTGGTGCTGACAACACCAAGTCTAGGGTTAAGATCCCCTTACCGGTCATCTTTAAAAAAAAAAAAAAGAAAGAAAAGAAAATATCTGGTTAAAATGAGTCCTGAGATTTATAGCGATTCTTTATGAAGGGAGTATGCTGCTAGCCATCGAGTCCAAATAAAGAATTTTATTTTAATAATAACACAAACTTAATTAAGGCTGTCCTTATTTGATCATATCAATTGGAATAATGTAATCTGAGCTGAAATTATATATGTGGTATTTAAGGATGTTTAGTAATACATTGTACATACAATTTTTGCTTGTGCTAGTGATCCTTAAGACCACCCTTAGGTTTGACGATTCACTAGGAGGTCTCTCAGGCTCAGTATATAGTTGTACTCATAGCTAAGATTTATGACGGTGAAAGGATAAAGGGAAATGGCACACACAGTGAGAGCTGGAGAGAGCAAGTGCAAGTTTCCATGGGTTCTCTCCCAGTGGAGTCATGCAGGACATGCTAATTCCCCCAGCAACAGGTTGTGGCAGTGAATGTGAAATGCAGCCAATCAAGGAAACTCATCAGAGGCTCAGCGCGTAGTGTCTTTATTGGGCACTGTCCACATAGGCAGCTTCTGGCTGGCATGCAACAATTCCAGAATTCCAGAAGGAAAGCAGATGTTCAACATAAACCATATTATTTGTGCGAAGAGTTTAGGCATAGTGAGACACTCTCATCAGTTAACAGTGATGGGTACCCTCTCAAAATCTAAGTTTCCAGATGCCAGCCAAGGCCACCCTTGTAAGTAGGACTTTCAAAGAGAGTAGTCAGGTTTGGTCTATTAACTCTTTTCTGCACATCCTTTTAAAATATTTTTTTTTCTCATTCAGTCTAGCAGTTCATAGTAATTCATACATTGGACATTATCTTTCAGAAAATTCAAGGTATTTTGAGAACAATATGAAATGGAAAATAATGACATTAATATATTGAATAACAAGAACTCACATTATTTCTAATTATTATTTTTTCTGTTTCTCAGCTTCTTCTTTTTCCTTTTCTCTATATGGAATAATTCCTGTGACACTGGGTGTCTTCAGCCTGTTGCTCTTAATGTTGTGTGGATTCTTTGCTTATCAGTGTTAAGTCTGATTAATCAAAGAAAAAGAAGAAATAGATTCTTTGTCAGATTACCATATTTCTCTAAACATATTTCAAATAATATTTTTTGTAAGTGTTTTATTGCCACACTGAACAGGAAACAGGTAAAATGATACAAAAGTATCAGAACTTTTTATTATATGGGTAAACTTGACCTTGTGAGCTCTCAATAACTGCACATTTCACCAAAGAAAGTTACACGATTGCAGTTTCAGTAGATGATATTGATAGTAATGTGATTATTATTATTTGGAAAATTTACAACTTATTAAGAAATTTAGCTTGATGAATTTACAACTGTCATAGAAAGTAACATAATTTGCCTCCTGCAGCCTAAATTATTTTTTTTGCTTTTTTTGTTGTTGTCACAGAAGGAATGTCCTTATTTTATTCTATTTAAACACATTTTTAAGATAATTTATTATACGTACAAGTGGGGTACAGTGTTGATTTTCAATAGTGTGTATAATGTGTGCTGGTTAGATCAGGTTAGCTAGCTTATTCATCATTACAATGTGTAATCATTCTTGGTTCAATGCGTTATCAGCATTTGTTATTCTTGGTCTTTTTAATCATGGCTAACCAATTCCTCATTAAACTCCCCCCTCCCCTTTTTCACCTCTAGTAATCAACAGTTCTTTTCTTTCTTGCTAAAAGTTCAATGTATTACTGTGATTGTTGTTTCTTTCTTTTTCTCTTTCTGTCTCAATTGTTTATTTATTTATAGGTTCAGCTACTGCTTATGAGTGAGAACATGTGGTATTTCTCTTTCTGCACCTCGGTTGTTTCACTTAGGATGGTTTTTCTCCAGCCTTGTCCATGATGCTGCAAATGGCAGAATTTCATTCTTTTTTATGGCTGAGTAGTATTCCATCATGTGTATATACCACATTTTCCTTATCCAGTCATCCACTGATGGATATTTAAGTTGGTTCCATTGCCTGGCTATTAAAAATAGAGCTGCAGTAAACATGGGAGTGCAGGTGTCCCTTTGACATAATGATTTCCAGTCCTCTGGATATATCTCTAGGAGTGGGATTGCTGTATCGTATGATAGTTCTATCTGTAGTTGTTTGAGGAACCTCCACACTGTTCTCCGCCATGGCCATACTAATTTACAGTGCCACCAGCAGTGCAGAAGGGTTCCCCTTTCTCTTCACCCTCGCCAGCATTTGTTATTCTTGGTCTTTTTGATAATGGCCAGTCTGACTAGGGAGAGGTGATATCTCACAGTGGTTTTGAATTTCATTTCCCTGTTGATTAGTGATGTCGAACATTTTTTCATATACCTGTTGGTAATTTGTATGTCTTTCCTTGAGAAATGTCTATTAGATCTTTTGCCCATTTTTTAATTGGATTATTTGTTTTTATTTGCTGTTAAGTTGTTTGGGCTCTTTGTATATTATTGATATTAATCCCTTGTCAGATATGTAGTTTGCAAATATTTTCTTCCATTCTGTAGTTTGTCTTTTAACTCTGTTGATTGTTTTCTTTGCTGCAACAGCCTAAATGAGATTAATAGAATGTTTTTATCATTATGAAAATTGTTTGCAAAATTTTATTTTAAAATAGTAGTTTCCTAATGATAACATTAGTTTGAAACTCAAAATTCTAAAATTTTGAATAGGAAGTGAAATTATACATATTAAATCAGCCAGTAATGATGCTGAAAGATATGTTTGAGGACTTGGTTTTTGTGGCTGTTGTTGTCTGTTTTAATTGAGTTAAACCACTCATCTATTCATATAAATACAAACATTCAATCTTAAAATAAATTGAGTTAATGTTTCAGTTTTAGGTATGGATTTTAGAAATAATACTAAGTTAAGATCTATTTAATTTATAGTTTAAGAAAACATATGGGAAACTTTATTAAGGAACAAACTAAGTATAAAATTTAGCCCTTGTAATCTAATAAGCTACTGTTTCAAAATTGAGCACATGTCTTATCCATGTTTTAAATTTTGTTTTTAGATTTTCAAAGTGTTCAGGCATCAGAGAACAAGATGAAGAGCTTTAACCAATTGACTGAGTCTTTCCAAAACAAAGCAGAAAAATTTCTTCTGGTCCAAAAAACTCTTGACCAAAATAAAGGTAATATTGGAGCTGGAACAAACTATCTTTACAGAATGCTAGAATGTTTTCCTTGTTACGGCCCTGAAACGTATTCTTGCTTTATGTATTATGGAGCACTCTAATAGAGCAGCAGGGTAGTTCTGATGGCATTTTGCCTCTTTTAGCTCCTTGTGTCATCTTTTGAAACTGTGTGAGTCTCATACTTATCAAACATAGTCTCATGTGCTAATTGATTTGCTTAGTCACTCATCTTTTCATTCACATGTGTTCGATGTACACTACATGTTAGCCACTATGCTGGTGGTCAACGACAAATACAATATGAATCCTACCTTTGAGAGGCTTAAACAAAACATAGAAACCAAAAATAAACCAAAGTGTCAAGATGTGCAGTAGACTTATGTGCAGATGTTCAGGGTGCACAGAATCAGAGCTTAAATACCTGAAAAATGGTGTTTTCATGGTTTCTAAATTCCTCCTTAAGGAGAGGAGTTTAAAATGCTAGAGTGATCAAAAAGCTTATTTTGTGTCATTTAAATTGTAATATAAAAATAGTCTATGTTCACGGTAAATATTTTTTAAAGTCCTGTATTAAACTGTGGGGTTTTTTGCTTATGAGTTACTGAGCTTACAGTGAATAATGAACTCAACCCTTGCAGAGTACTTCAGTAATTGGTCATGTTGTTGGGAAGGACGGGGGAGAGGACGGAGGGAGGGAAGCTTCAGTGATGGGCCACAATAATCAACCACATTGTGTATTGACAAAATAAAATAAAATAAAAAAATAAAGAAAGAAAGAATATATAATATCTTTTTTTTAAAAAAGGAGGGATTCTAAGTAATCAATTTTTTCAGCCAGAGATCAAACTCATTCAGTAGAGGAAGGGACTGGTCTAAAGTTATGGATATATTTTGGCACTTGCTCATTATTATTATGTGAATTTTGAAATAGTACAAAAAGCCAGGTGCAGTGTGCACTCTCATCTAGTGTTAACTCTTGTCCCATATAGAAACCCTAGAGTGGCTCCGAAAGCAGAATGTGTACCTCATGGAGGATCTACAAGAACTAAAGGCCAGACAAGGTAATTTTGTAAGTGAGAATGCTGAGCTGATAATAATTCTTAACATCAGCCTCAATCTTCCAAGAGGGAAATGTCTGAAGCTCTCAGCCTCCTTCATAATGTTCTGTGAGCTCTGAGTTACAAATATTTTCTTTCCTGGGAGACAGACATGGAAGTCCTCTGAACCACTGGGTACAGTATGAAAACCACAGCTACCACCAAACCATGGAAGTGTTTTCTTGGTTAAACTGTTCTCATCTTTGTGTCTCTTTGAATGCTACATTTTTAAAGACAGAAAGGAGCATATTGATAATAAAGTTGAATTTCTTTCTTTACTTCTGAAATATGAACATATACTAGAGTTCAGGCACAGAAAGGACTCACCCGCGGCTCTAAAACAAGGGAAAGGGACAGTCTCTTTCTTAACTTTTTTACTGATCTTTCCTGATTGTACTCCACTTCAGCATGGCTTTCTTTTCTTCGACATACCAGGCATGCCCTTACTGTAGAGCCGAGAGCCTTCGCCGTCTCTGTTCATTCTGCATTCCATGTTCTCTCAGCCCCTGTGACCTTGCTCTAAGTTTTTTTCATAGAACGTGTCACCTTCTCACATACCATATTAATTTCACATATGTAGTTTATTTGTACTTGTCCCAAATCTCCCCAAACCAAGGATTTTTGTCATTTTTGTTCAGTGATAAATCTCAAACTTAAAGCACAGGCACAGAGTTGAATAAATGATAAAATGAGTTAAGAGAAGGAACTTATATTGTAGTGCAATATCTTCTTGAATATAAAGCTTTCTAATTGCCATCTCTTTTTGTTCTATTTTGTATTTAATTCATGGTTCGAAAAATGCACAGACATTGAAGTACTGAAATGTTATTTTTGATGTTTCATTTATCAGTGGCCATATATAGACTGTATTATTTTTATAATTACTTCTAACTTGACACGTTTCATATTCTTAAAATTTTCTTATGCACTTTTAGTATTAAGAAATTATCTTTGTGTACTTTGTCTTCAAGCAGAATATCACGGGGTTACTTTTAGTAAGTCATACCTGGATTGGCATATCTTATAAGGAAGAGGACAACGCATGGCAGTGGGAAGATGGTTCCTCTGATTCTCCTGGCCCGTAAGTTTCTAGTTTATAATCCAGTTCCTCGTTTCTTTCTCAGTGTCTCATTGTCTGTTTCTTAAAGAGCTGGAGGAGGTAGAGAAGATTTCTGGGGACAGAATTTAGACACTTTATTTCTTGTTTTTGTTATTTCATATTATGCTGTCAGCAATTTTATAAATCACAAAGTCATTTAGACATTTATGATTTGTGTAAATATGCTACTATTATTGGATAATTTGATTGATTACAATTTTTGATAACAAATATATAAAGAAGAACATAATTATATATGAATTTTGAAATATCTCTGGTATTTTTACTGGGAAAGAGTATAGAGTTGTTATTCTTCAGCCAAATAGTTTGGGCCTTTTATATGGTTTTAAATACATGTTGTCAAATTGTTCTGCAGAAACACTGCATTAGACAACTATGGCAAACAACCCCAAAAAACAAAAACCAAAAAACCCCCAAAAAACTCATAATAACAAGCTGTAGTGTTTTAAAGTTTTGATAGGTGACTATTTTTACTTTGTTCTTTTACGTTGTATTCTTTTGATGTTAACTAAGGCTGTTTTTGCTATAACTTGGAGAAAATCTTTTTCTCATATTTAACTTTTATTTTTTGATATAAATGCCTTATATTAGTCTTGTAACTTTTCAGGCACGTCTTTATGTTTTGTTCCTTAGTAATTTGCCTTTTAAGTTTATTTATTTTTTATTACGTGAGATAGTATTTAAAATTTAAGCAGACTGAAATTGTTTTTATTTATTCGAAATTTATTTTGGGATGTGAGGAATACAGCGGAAGCATGCATGTGTGTGTCTAAATGTAGATATGATTCTACCCATCTCTCTTTCTATATATATTTCATTTAGGTAGTCATTGCCAGAGTACTATTTCAATGATTCATCATTCTTTTATCACTGATTTTAATGTTATATTTATCATATACTAAATATTTAATATTTAAATAATTTGCCATTTAATGACTAATTTAAATATTTCATAATTTGCGTGAATATTTTATGTGTAAACATTTTTGGGTATTTTCTTGTACTTCCCTGTACTGTTGCATCAATAGTGAGTCTATTCTTACTTTTATGGTAATCATTTTAACTATTAGAATTTTGTTATTTGATAGTTCTCCTATACTTCAGACTTTGTACGATGCCACACAGAGTACCCAATAGCTACATGGAATTAATAAATGGAAAACATATAAAAGTATTTTGGCAATTAATTTTTCCTAATACAGTTCAGAATTCTTTTTTTTCAAATTTCTTTGACATTTTGAAAAGGAACACATTATGTGTTTAGTAATTGAGCAGACAAGATTTACCCTTCTTAGGCTTTAATAGAGAACCAGATTTTCTCTAGAGTTGATGAAAGATAGTATTGTTGATATTGACCTAATGTGCTCTCTGTAATCTAGCTCTGTAGTCAAGGACTAAATCCAACCAAAGTACTTGACGGCATCTTCCCTGTGGTATTTCTGTCAGAGCTGATTTTGTAAATTGAAGTGCATATCAGAGCAAAATGTAGTGACATATTACACACACACACACACACACACACATATAATATTGTAAATGTCATTAATTTTGGCTGCTTTTGTATCTAATGCTATGTATTTACAAGTTAAATATCTGTCTTCCAACTGCAACTGTACATAGTTGAACGACTTCTCTCATGCCAATTTGAACTTAAACATAATTTTATATCGCAGGTCATATGTCCCATCTTTCATGTTATTGCAGTAATTTTCCAGCCAGACAATTTTCTTACTGTCTATAAAAGTGTATTTTTTCCAATTATAAATCATTATGACATTCAGTATAGCTTACTTATTATTTTTATCTAAATGTCAACATTGATCATAACTTTATTTTCCTTGGTTTCTTTTTCTTTGGATCTTCTTGCGGAATGGGTGTCCACAGTTCAGGAAGTCACATAAAGCACAATGGAGAGTCTTGTTTTCGAGGCTTCTTCTCATGATCGTAATCTCCACAGTAAATAGTATCCATGCTTGTTGGGCTACGCCCGGGCCGCCAGCCATTTGGGGATAGTACCTCAGCCATTTTAAACTTGCTTCAGGCTGATTCTGGGAAGCCTATCTCATCTCTTTTATAAATGTATGAGTTCTTTTAGAAGAAGGAGCATGTCTTTAAATCTTTGAATTCCCACAGCACCTGATATAATGAATTTCACATAGTAAGTTCTTAAGGAAGGCTATTTAGTTTGCACACACTGAATATGACCAGTGACTTTTGTTTTTTCAATTTCTCAAGGGTTTGCCAGAATTCTTAAGGAAGGCTATTTAGTTTGCACACACTGAATATGACCAGTGACTTTTGTTTTTTCAGTTTCTCAAGGGTTTGCCAGAACCAAGACCGGATTTCTAGAGGAAATGTGTATATCTAAATGCACACACCATTAGTACTAATAACTGCACCACGTCTTCATCATGCATGTGTGAGAAACACGTTTGTGCTAAAAACCGAGAAGAGGGTTAATTAAAAACTTTAAGGTTCACATGTCAATAATCTAGATTTATGATCTGCCTGCCTGTTGTTATTTCATTTGTAACTCTTTTTTTTCATGGCAGAAACTGATACATGAATTCACGGTAGAAAGAGCAGAGTATAAAATTACAGAAAAAAAATCAGGGTAGCCCAGAAAACTTGGAAATTTTAGCACCTCATTGATTTTGTGAGAATTATTTAACTGAGCTAATAAACATATTACTTGCTATAAATACTTAGACCTTGGCTCTTTCTTATATTTCAAAATCTGTTTATTCATTTAGAATTGAGACACTATGGAAACAAACCACCAGAGAAAATGCAATGAGAAATGCAAGTGATAAATGATTTAACACATAACATACAAAACTGGCAAAAATACAAAGAAATATTAATAGCAACAAATAGCATAAAATACAAAAAAAAATTTAATTAAAACCAATTTTGTTTGTTTTCCAAGTTGCTTACAGGAGTCTTCCTAGTATATTTTAAATATATCTAGTTCGCCTACATTTTTAATTCCTTGCTACATTGTTAGCAGAAAGTATAGATATCTGTCCTGTAGTCTACTTTTGATAGGCTTTGGATTCATTACCCCATACCCCCATATTGTTTCAAATTTTTATTCCATTAATTGCCTCCCTCACATACAGGCAGCCATTTCCATTTAAAATGCATTACCTTCAAGACATGAACATACCCATATATCTCTCTCTGTCACTTTAAACTCATGTCCCCCTCTAATTACCTCCGAGCCTCCCAAAAAGTTCACTTCCATGTGAATGTACTCGAGCAAAGAACATCCACTGATCATGTACGTCTCACTTTGCAGTTATTATTCAGAACATTGTTATCTGGCTTATCTTTTCTCCACTTTGTTGAGACTGCTTTTGTTTAAGACATTAATGATCTACTTGTTATTCCTTCATTTATTCACTTTGGGTGTTTTATGTGTTTGTCTCTGTTTTAGCAGGAAGTTTAGTCAATTTATTTCAAGTCTTACGTTATTTGATCTATGAACAGCATTTTACTGGATTATCATCCCATTCTTCTTGAAAACTATTATCGTTATTTTTGGGTTATTTTAAATGTATGTGTAGCATTATTTTGCATTTAACAGTTTTGGTCTTTCTTAGTTTTCTTCCTTCCATTCTGTTCCTGTAATTTTAGTTTCCTTTATGGATTTTTCTCTGATTGTTCCCTAATGTTTTCAGCTTGAAGGTTTTATGAGGGAACACTCATGTCATTTAGGATAACATTTGATTTATTGACACCGGTGCATTAGAGAGAACTTTGAGACCGGGTTGAGGCTCAAATATCTTTTACTACACTTCCTATATATTTGACATTCTGCAAGTTGTTCTGCATCTGTGAGTCTCAGTTTCATAATTCATAAGATTGGGCTGATAATAACTGTAACTTACAGCTGTTGGAGGATTAAATAGTACCATATGTCTGAAGCATTTAGAAGAATGCTTCTAAATGCCACTGAAAGTATAAGTGTTTGATAGGAGTTAGCTATTGTTTTAGATAAGCAGGAAAAAAGCAAGTTTCTTGTAAACTATGAAGCTCTATGCAATTTAAAAGTATACTTAGTATAAACGATTATGGTAAAGTGTAGAAATTTTGGTGAATGAAATGCATGCTATGTTTACACATATTACAATAACCTTTTTACCATTCCTTCCTATTCCCTTATTTTTAAATTCAACTATCTATGCTGTTTTCTTTCTTTTCTATCTCCCCTCCTTTTTCCTGTTCGAGAAGTAAACTTTATTCATTATAAGTGACAAAAACAGAATTCAACCTAGCCTGGGCAAAAGGAGGAAACCTTAGAAAATATACTTGATTGTTCTATAAAATTAAAGAACAATTTGAATATATAAACCACAAGAAAGGTAGTGATACATTTTAGCCACAGGAAAAACCGTAGCTGGACCTCAGATCCTACCAGCATTCTCTATTGCTTTTCTTTTTCAGTGTGGGTTTTATTGTTTTTATCAAGAAGGTTGATTTCTTCTATATAATAGGAAAAATGGACAATAATTACTCCTGGTTTCTATGTATCTATCTCCTATTTCATAGATTCTATGTATCTGGAGACAGAGGTTACTGTGTCAAAAGTGCTCTTGGGATCAACATTTGGAGGTGGGGAAGGAAGCACTATTAGATGGAATGAGCTGCAATGAACTTATAATGGAGCTTCACCCAACCTGATAGGATCTCTTCAGAATAATCCCACACTGGGGTGAGGCCCCGGTCTTTATATCTCTTGCATCACCCAGCTGTCAGTACAGGTGGCCCATAGGAAGGGTAGTGATCTCGGGGGAGGCAGATCTCTTAACTCTGGGCTGAGTGCTAAGAGCTGTCAGCAGACAGCATTCCCAGCATCTGTGGAAATTAGTAATGTCGTTCTGAAAAGAGAATCTGGAAATATTAGAGTGTTCATGATAGAATAAAGAAATTAAATCTGAAGGACTGAATTGGAATTA